GGGCTTGGCCACTGCAATAAACGTTGTGTTGTTCGTCATCAACACACACATTGAGGAGCAAGTGAAGAACAACAACTGTATGGTGATCCTGTGCACCGCATGTTATGTCGTATACATTCTCAATCCTGCAATTTCACTTTTAGTAGTTCTAGCACTGTATTTACACATTCTCAAAGTGGCGCGGGGTCACGCCCGTCGCATCGCAGCTCAGAATGACGTGGGAGGACGCCACCAGGGCCAGAACCCGCCGCAGCGGATCAGCACCAAGTCAGCAACTACTGTGCTCATCATAACTGCAGCTGTTTGCATCAGTTGGATGGCACCTGTCCTCTCGATTATCTTTCTTGCCAGTACCTCTGGGAGCATAGAGCTTCCAATCCACACCATCTTGGGTACCGTCTACTACACCAACAGCTGGCTGAATGCGGTCATCTATTACTGGAGAAACAAGGAGCTCCGGCAAGCACTGCGAAGCTTGATAGCTTCAAGCTGTCGCTGACATTCACGGATTCCATGCATGCACAGTAGATACCGCATTGTGACCACTCACACAGAGCTTTGAGTGTGGGTACACAAAGCACTGGTTAACTCAAATCAGATTTAGTTTACTCACTGGTTAACTCACTAGGTACAGGTACTAATCGGATTAACTTGGATTTCAGACAAAACAGTGTGACAAATTAACAGCAAGAGATACTGACAGGCAGTAGATAAGCACCATTAAGGCATCACCTTAATGTCAATTGCCACAAAGGTCTATAACAGAGTGCTGCTTGACAGGATAAGACCTATCATTGATCCCTACCTAAGAAACAACAAGGCAGGGTTTCGTAGAGGCCGTGGCTGCGTTGAGCAAATCCACATCCTGAGAAGAGTCATGGAGGGTGCAGCAATTCAGCAACTACCCCTGCACACAACCTATGTAGACTTCTGAAAGGCCTCGATGGACAGGAGTCTCATGTTTGCCTTCCTTCGTCACTACGGTGTACCAGACGACACCGTGAAGGCCATTCAAATTCTATCATAAGTGCAATTTTTATTGATGGAAAACTGACCAAAGAATTTGAAACAGTCACAGGAATTCTTCAGGGGGATGTCTTAGCACCTTTTCTCTTCGTCATTGTAATGGACTACGTGCTGACTCTACCCATCAAAGACTCAGGTCTCATGACACATCCTAGGAGATCTAGAGGAGTGCCAACCAAGATACTGAGCGACTTGGAATTTGCAGAGACATTGTACTCTGTGAGTCAACCCTGGATGGTGCGAGATTACAAGATGTCTCTGAAGCTGCCAGATCAGTCGGGCTTAAGATACATTCTGGGAAAACCGAATTGATGACTACTCAACCATGTACAAACTTAAATCTAACCCTCAATGGAGAAGTCATCACACATTCATCAAACTTTAAATACCTGGGTTCGATGATGGCGTCATCGGGGAGTGGCATACGGCGGCGAAGATCTCTTAAATGCATGCATTCTGGAAACTAGGAAGGATACGGAAGTCCTCCACTGTGGCCCAAGAGCTAAAACTGAACATCTTGAAGACAGCCTGCCTACCCATCCTGTTATACGGCTGCGAGACATGGCTCATCACCAAGTCCCTTGTCACATATCTTAACAGCTATCTTTCAAACTGCCTCTGGATCATACTCGGCATAAAACGTCTTGTCAAGGCTACTAATACCATGCTTTACAATATCAGCCAGCAACAACCATTAATACACACCATTCAAATTCATGGGTTGGTCACATCCTTCAGAAGCCTATAAACGAGCCAGTTAACATCTATGCTCTACAGGGTGTTTCAAAAAAAAGGAAACCCAACTTTAAAGAATGAGTATGGACAGACGATATGTTTACTGGCTATAAAACTGGTATCATCTGAAAGCGTAATCTCTATGCTTTTCCATGATACTATGTTTAGGTTTTTTGAGTCATGAATCAATGAGCATCATTATCTTGAAAACTGGAGGCAAAAATGCAGTTGGTTCACTTTCATAAAAAAACCCACTGGGCACAGTGTGCCTATTGTTACGAAAATGTCTGTGAAATGGCTTGAATGTTAATTCTCAGGAAAATGGCACATTGTTTTGAACGTGGCTCGGTCAAAACGAGAAATTCATGACAAACAATAAAATCCAGTTTTGAAACCAACCCACGACTTGTTTTTTGGTTTATTTTTATGCACTCGTGTCTTCTTCTTGAATACTTATTCTCATGCACACCATGCCTATTGTGTTGGACATGAAAGTGAACCAACTGCAATTTTGCAAACAAGGTATCATTGAAAAGCATAGAGATTGCGCTTTCAGTTGATAACAGTTTTATAGCCAGTAAACATTTAGTCTGTCCATACTGGTTTTTCAAAGTTGGGTTTCCTTTTTATTGAAACACCCTGTATACTCCCCATCTCATGGCCGACGCAGACAAGGTCGTCAGCGTCTGCTCTACCCAGAGTACATCACTAGACTATTGTCACAGGATTTTTCTGCTCTCCCCGCTAGAGATCCGGAGACTCGCACAAAACAGAGATGAATGGGGAAAACTTGTGTCCCTCTGCTGTGCAGTCGACTGATGATGATGACGTGGGAAATGGTTGACAAATTTGCAGCGCGGTACACTTGAAATTGTTCGTTTTCCGGTCAGTAGTTTCGTAAGCACATGATTCGAGTATATGTTTGCCCTTTTTTTTCTTTTTATCAATATGATGTTTTTAGTTAGGCGGCAGAACAATATGCCCCAATCTATAACAAATTAGCTTAAGTTGTCTAGTGACACTCATTCAAACGGGCCATGTTTTGTCGACCGTAAACTTAAACAATGGACTCTCCATGGCAAACTCTTGTATGTACAAATGTATTGTGAATCGCCCGAATTGACTCAGCCTTTTATTGTACAAGCATACATGTACAGGCTATGCAATGCAACTAAAGAGACAATACACATGTGGATGCTGAAGGAAAAAAAGCCATTACAAGTAATTGTACATGTCATTCTGCTTAAAAGTTTTATGAATACTAAGGAGAAAAGAACATTACTGATGGGTATTGGAAAACTGTGCAAAAAATGTTACTGAGCATTGGGCTTTGACGATGCAATCAAGTTGCCAATCAAACACAGAAAATAAAAGAAAAAAGCAATAAAGATCAATTTAGGGCAGTTGTTTATCCTAAGACTTGGTCAAACAGATCGCCTGTCAAAACCACGCTGGTAACTTATGAGATCCTTGTCAAATGTCCATCACAGATACATAAACACGTACATGTATAAGGAATCGACACATATCTTGGTTAAGGCTTGTAATTACACATGTGCCAATGGTAGCGGCTTTAAGCCGCATCTCATAGACACTAGTGTTATTGCCAGCCATAGTCAAGAAATTCAGACACGGCTAAAATCAGATGATGCTGACTCACGCACGCACACATACTCAACCACACTGTACATAACTGAACAGAGAGGGTCCACAGTTTGTGCACCACAAGTTTGGCACTTTCGCCCAGATAAAAACCGTCTGCACTAGTAGGCAATAGGTTGTGGGTTCGAGTCCTGCCAGAGCCGGCTTGAGCATTGTGTTGTGTTGTAAAGAGCAAAACACACTGTTATAGACATCAACAGCATTAGAATGAACTCTACAGGTTATGACAAAAATCTTATCAACACTGAGTTTACAGTGCTTTATTAGTACCGTTGGTGAAGAGCACAACCAAGTGTTAATGAAATCAGCAGCAACAGAATGAATGCAACAGGAAACAGCACATCTGGAACGGACTACAGCAATGGCAGCTACGCAACGACGGATGACCAACAGCTGCTTCAAATTGTTGTCAATGTGCTCCTGACTCTGACGACTCTTCTGATACTCATTCTCAACCCTCTCAGCCTGGTTGTGCTTCGTCGGGCTGACGGCATCCAGCAGACCACCAAGATTCTCATGGCCTCGCTGACCATCTCCGATATCTGCACTGGGTTTATTGCCGTGGGGTTGCTGACCGAGAGTCTATCCGGAGTGTGGGTACTCGGGGAATTTCTGTGCAACCTCTCTCGTACCCTGGGTCCCGTTTGCGTGGCCTTCAATGTCAACTCCCTGGTCCTATTGACAATTGACCGCTACGTTGCCATTGTCTACTCGCTGCGCTACGCCATGCTGATGACGACCAAACGTGCCAAGATCCTGGTTGCGCTGGTCTTGGGCTGGTCCACTGCAATAAACGTCGTATTGTACATCGTTAAAACCCAGACTGAGGGACAGGTGGAGAGTGATGACTCATGTCTGACAGTCCACTGCAATTCGTGTGTCACAGTGCGCATTCTCAGTTTTTCGATTCCCCTTCTGGTAATTCTAGTGCTGTACTTGCGCATTCTCAAAATAGCCCGGGATCAGGCCCGGCGCATCGCAGCCCAGAATCCCGTGGGAGAATGCCGCCAGGGCCAGAATGCACCGCAGCGGATCAGCACCAAGTCTGTGACTACTGTTCTCATCATTACCGCAGCTGTATGTGTCAGTTGGACGGCACCTGTCCTGTTGAATATCTTTCTTGCCAAAGACCTTTTCAACACTCAGCATCCAATGTACACCTTTGGGGCGACCATCTACTACACCAACAACTGGCTAAATGTGGTCATCTATTACTGGAGGAACAAGGAGCTCCGGCAAGCACTGCGAAGCTTGATAGCTTCAAGCTGTCGCTGACTTTTAAGGACGTCACACGAAAGACGACGCGTCTTTACCACTTGCGAAAGCTCAATGCGTTGGACTCATCACTTACGCACACTTCAAAGGTGTACGTCGTGGATATGCACATTATTTTCAATGCGAATGTGTTCCCCTTGCCACTGCAGCAAGTAGAATCATTAATAGTAGACCTACTATTGACGTACATGTTAGAGTCATTAGTAATACTACTGGAGCTGAGCTCTCCGGAGAACTCATAAATATATATATTGGAAAGGATTTTAAAAGCAAGGGCAGACAAAAACGGGAATCGCACTTACTTGATAATCGTACAAGGCTGCTGCCCTGATGCAGGTCTCCTGAACCCGTGAGGGCTGGACAGGGTCTGGGTCCTCGTTCAGCGTGGCCTCGAAGGTGTCGTCGAACGAATCAAAGCTGTTCATGGCGTGGCTCGCGGTCAGTTCCTCACTGTGCGCACTCTGTGTAAATGCAATGTGAGATGCGTTGCTCATAAAAATGGCAATTGAGGAAGCACTCTTTAACCTTAACCTTCCTGAATCCTCCAAAATCCTCTTTGCAAAATGGAGGATTTTGCAGGATTGAGGCTACATGGCAAAAGTGTGTGGCAGATTTTGGAGGATGCACTGTGTCAAGGTCTTAGGCTGGACCTTGTGTTCTTTATGCTCAGCCGTGCATACATTTAGGCCTATATTATACTTAAAATCCTCCGCCCTGCTCCAGGATGTCACTGGCTCTGCCTCAACCTATTGACAGTGATTGCCGGAGGATTTTGCAGGATTGAGGCAGTGGTCACCCCTCCAAGGACAACATTCAAGAAATAATGAAGGATTTCGCAGGATTGAAGCTGTAAATGTTATTTTACATGGAGGCCGTTGGAGGATTTTGCAGGATTGAGGTTGCATCCTAGCAAAAATGCCTAGGGAGTTAGGGTTAATGCATTACTGTAAAAAGAGAAACATGTACATACATGTATGTGAGGTGTTCTGGCAAACTGAAACCAGAACTGGTCACAGGCCGTAGTGGAGAAAAATGTAAAACAAAAATAATGGGGGTGACTTAGTTCTTTCGATTTACAGATTTATTGATATTTGTCATCTTTGATATGTCTACTAAAAAATAAAATGCATAAAATTGTGGATTAAAAGTGTTTTATGGAACAAACAATTGGCATCTTTCAGTTTCACAGCTACAAAACAATCTGAACTGCAACATTTAAACAGCCATAACTGTCAACGGATATCCGAATGAAGTGCAACAAATAGTATTGTAAGGAGAATTTTATTCTCTTTCCTAACACCAGCACACCCTCATTTCGAATTCTTGCCAGCTCTGTCTCATTTTGCCAGAGTGCCTAACAGATTGTGGTGTAAATGTTGGTAGTTATGCCTGAAAGAAAATTATCAGTGTAGTTGGAAATATTTTTAATTATATAACCGACATACAGGTCCTTGTCATTTGATTGGTAGAACTCACATCACGTGACATTCATTATTGCTCCCATTCAAGCCGCGGCTCAAAAAGTACTATCCGCCCATGGGGAATGGGAAATACTATTGAACAGTTAGGATCATGACGCGGTATTTGTGTGCAAATGCATGCTGATGTGCGCGTTCAGCGTTGTGCGTATTGTTCCAAAGAGCCAGTGCTACAGCGTTGGGTTCAAACATTTTCGTGAAGGGGTGGTTTGGAAGAGAGAAATACGTTTTCCTCCAGTTTTGTATTGAGATAAAAGTTCAAATATATCAAATGACAAGGATCTATATGTCAGTTATATAAAACAAATATTGAGCGGCTTTAAATTGTGAAATGGGAGGAATATTATTGTTCGGTAAAACCTGGACTTTTCCCGTTCACTCCGCTTCGCCTCGTGAAATGGAAAAGTCCAGATTTTACCATGCGATAATATTCCTCCCATTCCACGCTGATCCACTCAATATTTGTATAATAATATATAAGGCTGTCAGGTCCATCTCAAATCTGGTCACAAGTAAATCACAGCTCCATTCACAAGTCCAGTGGCAAGTAACGAGGAAGAACATGTGAAGAAACTTATGACTTGAGTATAGACTGATTGACTTGTGCTGGACTTGTATTGGATGTGACTACAACATTGTCTTAAAATTGTAAAAAAAAACTAAAAGTAGATTTCAAATGTCAATGTAAAAACAACTATACAGGCAAATGTAAATACAAAGAAAAGCTCTATGAGTGTATTTAAATGTAAATACGATGTTAATTTGAATGTGTCAATTAAATATAAAACTATGCTGTAGATAAAAAAAAATTGAAATCAAAAAAGAAAATACAGGCAGTCTCATTTCAAGTTCAAAAATGTTAAAGAACAGCCACGTCGATGTAAATTCAACTGAGGGTTTTAAAATTACGTCTGAAATTGATTTACATTTGAGCTTTTACATGTATGTTTTACATGTATCAACTGTCAATTCAAAAACTCATCAATAAATAGTTCTTCAGTGCAGAAAATGTTTTTAAAACCAAATCTTGTGAAATTTTCAGGCATGCAACCGGGAATTTAGATGAGAGAAAAAAAAAGGAAATTCTAAAAGCACACACGACTTTGTACAGTGTTTTTCAATTTGTAATGGCACTCATGAGAAGTACAAAAAAAACGTGGAAATCAGCAGATCCCAGGAAAATTTGTATGCCTGAATTTTGTGTGAAATGATTTTGACACATTTTGGGGGTATTTTGGGAGTCCGGACTCAATTTGTCCAAATCAAATATAAACATTCTTAATTATGGCCTAGAATTTGACGTTTCTGAAGCTGAGTCCATACTGAAGCTGAGACCCCAACGATAAGGGTCCTAAAGCTTACGATTTGTTTGCACCGCCACTGAACCGTCGGCATCAAGCACGAAAGTCATGCTCAGGTGTCACTAAGAAGTCATGGATTTATTGTGGAAAAAGTGGCAATTATAGTGGAACGAGCTGATTTTCAACACAGAATAATTGCAACCATCACAGAATAATCGCAACCATGCTCACGTCACCCACGACGCCACGTCAACGATTCGCAATAAACTTAGATGATCCGGATGCGCGCAAGACATCGTAACTTCACACAGGTCAACTGCGATTGATTCCTGCCTGTCGGGAACACGTTTCGTCAGGCCGCAGAAGTTAACATTTTAATACTCTTGCGACTGTTGATTTTCTTAAGCGCTGACTGATTACAAATTTATATCATTGCAGTCACACTCAGGTCGCAAAAAAAAATTGCCGACTGAAATCAGGGGTGTGAGTGGAGTTAAAAAAAAATAGCTGAAAATAGCTGAACCTGTAAATAACCGAACCTGCGAGCGCGTAGAGCGAAGCCCTTACGGTGTGGGGTTCGGGGCCCGCCCAAGGGCCCCGGAAAAATTTTGAAATGTAGATGCTCTGTGGTGCATTTTAAAGCCCCCTGGCATGCCTGGGCCAACTATTGGTCGAAAATGTTTTGTAATTTATGCATGTTTTTAAGTTAACTTTTCCTTCATATTGGCTTGAAACTGCCTAAATGGCCAACTTGTATATGAAAACTGGGAAATTCAACCGCCGTTTTCCATATTTTAACTCCTTACTGCAGAATATTGATACACATCGTCATCGCGTGTCCCGGCTTCTGATCGAGTCGCCTAATTTCTGCCCATTAAGTTAACCATGTGTTCCATCCAAATCCATTTCCACGGATTCGTAACCTGAGGATCGGTTTTGTCAATGTCCGAATGAAACTCCGAACCACTTGGGATAATAACACATTTGTGTTGCACTGACATCTCGCGGAATTAATGTCAAAATACGTTCGAAACATTTGAAACGACACACTAACGTACGTACATGTACGTATCAGCATGCAGCGGAATACGCAGCAGGATGCGTGCATGCAATGAAATGCACACATGAACTTTGCCCCGCATGATGCCCTCTACCGGCGCGGCACGTCGGCGACAATTTACTAGTCTTATTTCAAGGCTTTATATTTGCAACAAGACGATGTTTACAACGAGTTATTGTGGAGATCATCGCGTGTCACTACATGCATAGACACAGGAACGGCCGCAAAGAGTCCCAACGCGCTTCATGGCGCATGTGTGAATATTCATATTTATCTGCAGCCAATCACAGCGCCATGACTGTTGGTTCCCTGGATGCTGTTTACACGTTGTGTACACACGCGGCTTCGAGCTGAAAATGCATGCACATGGCATCGTATAGTACACACGTACGTACGTAAATGTACATGTACATTTGTACATGTACATATACATTGAATACTCGCTTGCACGCATCCCATCTCAGAGCTACGTGTACATGTATGTTGTAGAGAGCGGATCGCGTGCGTTCGGCGGCGGCGGAAAATAAAATAATCGGAAATAAAATCAAAGCTTACGCGCGGGGGAAAAAGCGGTGGGAAATCTGGACCATCGGAAGAAAAAAAGCGGAAAACAAAATGTGGCACGCTGAACAAACAAGCGGAAATCCGCTAAATAGCGGAGATTTCACACCCCTGTGAAATGTTCCCGGCGGTCGTAGCTCAAACGCAACTTGATCCTGAAAAATCAGTGGCCGTCGCTCTATGTCATTGCAAGGTCAACCTGATGGCAGCTTTAAAATCTCCTATTAAACAAAAAGCGGGTGCAGAATAGCCGAGGTTTGGCAAACGCCCAATGCAGGGCTAACAAATGCTTCCCTCTATTAATGAATATCAACACCACCGGTCATTTATTGTTGGTTGTTTTAGGGGATTTGGGTTTTTTTTATGGACACTTACTTGTTTAGCAGCTGCCTGCTGTAGCTTCATCTGGGCTTCAATCTCGGCTTCCTTGGCAATGGCCTCGTAGGCACTGTCCACCCACTGGTCAACGTTGACTAAGGTAAAATAAATGTCAATTAATTATTGGCAATATGTGGTTAGCATGTGAATGGTTTTATTACGCCTTTTTCTAGCTATTGCATTTAATAATCTCTTCTTTTTTTTCTCCAACTGCTGAAAAGATTTCAGCTCAAAAAAAAGTTTATCTCACCAAAGTATTTGTACTAATTTCTGCGATTGTGAGTCCCTACTGTAAAGTGGAATTTTTTTTTTATACCCAGCACGATATGTGACAGAGGGCTAACCCCCTCCCCCATCCCCCAATCTCCTTATACCCTATACAAACCCTAGACTATAACACTTCCCCCCTAGTTACTGCTATCTCGGCAAAACGTTGTTGTGCATATGCCCTATCTTTTCATGTAGCTAGGGCGTTCATGCGCAATGGCCCCTTGCATAAGTTCCACAATAAACCAGTTAGGTATTCTAAAATAGTCTGGTGCACAGCAAGATTCGACGATTGTTTTCGGGATAACCGCGGCAGATAAATGCACACAAGGCTATGGTGGACGTGGTAACCAAATCTGCATTCTGTGCAATTTTCGAACAATCGAAAAGAGATGGAACTTTCGTTCACACAAAGGTTTTGACACACAACACACCTAAAAACACTTTGCTGTCCCAATATTCTTTTGCAAAATGTTATAACTTCAGAACACGATGATCTCTTCAATTTTTGCTGGTACCCCGCTATGGTTTTGCACGCATACGATGAAATTGAAGAAAAATCGGCAAATCTTGATGTGCACATGCACAGTTGGAATACCAAACTGGCTGACTGCTTTGTATGGCGCATGCTTAGTAGACTAGCACACCGGTAACCTGTGTGATAGTTTACTACGCATGTGTATTTAACCTGAATCCTCACGTATACACTTGGCCGAAAACTAGCGGCTGACACGTGATGGTGCATAGACCAGTGAGAATTCGGCTCTCGATCAGGAATATGTATAAGGTATATTCATAAATACCTCAGACAGTTTAGCCATTCTTATTGGCCGAGAGCCCGTCACATGGCCGGTCTTAAACGGATGATAAAGACATGGCTAGCTGGTCTTAAACACTTTTCCAGTGTCACATAAAATGTGGACTCCTAAAAATCCAGTGCCTCTTACTGTTTCATTGGTTGAACGTTCACAATCCTCACGTAGGCATGCGCAACACTACCAGTGGGTCAGAATTTTTTAGTTCTAAATTCAAAACGCAACGCCCCAGGTGCGTTCTGTGCGACATCGCGCAGAACGTGCTACGGGCGCGTCAATTTCCATAAAAGGGTTGTTTACATCTTACTCGCCAGCTGAACACTCCATTATTTTGCTAGAGGGATGTTTCAAAAAGCTGGAGTGAAGTTGTTGATCAAAATCGGGATTTTTTTAACCAATTCCTTGATTTGTTTTTACCGAAAAGGTATTTATGAATGGGAATAAATATGTGCTCGGTCGGTATTAATCACTCTGTTTAAGACTGCTTAGAGTCTGGGTGCTGATAATTACCCGAGCCGGAATTATGAACACCCAGACTCTAAGCAGTCTTAAACAGAGTGATTAATACCTCTCGAGCACACATTTATTCCCTTAGTAAAGAATGGGTGTGACTTACTGCCAGCATTCCTCAGCATGTTGAGTTTGGCCTCTGCTTTCAGCTTGGTGGTCTCTGACTTCCTTAGAGTCTCCCGGAGCGTCTCGTGTTTCTGCTCCGAGTCCTTCTCCTGACCAAAGCCGCTGTCTGAGGATGTGTCCGATCCCTGACAGAGAAAGAGAAAGACAAAAAAAAAATGCCTGACATTAAAGGGGCACTAGGTCCTGAAATCCCCGAAAATTTTATCTTTTGGATTGTTTACTTAGCCTATTTCAAACATCTGGTTGAAAGGAAAACAACCTAATGTCTTACCGTTCCCGAGAAAAGAAAAAAAAACAAACGCTTGTTTACATTGGACATGATGGAGTATGAATACGTTTTTCGTGTTGTTCTCAGTGTACGATATACACATTGTGCGTCTCTGGAACAACGGTGACCAATCACCAATGCAAAAAAAAACGGTTTCTTCAACGTCCGCAAAAGGCGAACACTTTACGAATGAAATCACAACTAGCATCCAAACAGCTCGAATTGATGGGGTCGCAAAAGTGGACCCCGAAATTCGTTCTCGCACGCATAATACAGGAATAACACAAAAACGCCCAGTCTTGAAAGGATAGTTGTGTGGATGTTTATATCCTACTTTTAAATGTTATTTCCGATAAACATCATCTCGTTCAAAGCGCGTTTTGTAGCCCAATTGGGCTGTTCCAGGACCTAGTGTCCCTTTAATGGTAAGAAAGTGTTGTGTTTGTAATTACACGTAGTTCCTAATCTCTTAAAGGGAATTTACAACATTTGCTTCTGCTGTAATTTTCAGCAATGGATGAATTTTGGGGGCCCACAACAAGCAATCAAGTATTTAAGTTCAACTTTTGAATTAAGAGCGGGACGCTCCTAATTCATTCTGAATAGTGTGTGCAATATTTGAACTGGAGCGCACCATTTAAAACCAATATTTAAAGCTGTATAAAGGTCTGCAAAAACAAACAAGCAAATTTATTTGTTACAGGACATTATATTCCTTTAAATTTCGTTTGGAAAAGAAAATCAAAATTTGGAAAAAGCGCGTATATACCAACTTTTAAAGCTATAGTCCATCATTTGCAGCCATCCGAAAAAGTAACTGGCGTATTATTGTTGAAAAACATACTTGGTTGAAAGATAGTAAGTGGACTAAACTCCCTGTGAAATTAATCTTTCTGGCAAGCTATCATTTTGAAGTAATCAACGAAAGAAGGCCTTTCCAACGGTGCATCTTAAGACGCACGGTAAGAAAATTTAAATTAGTAGTTCGTTTTGTTATTCGGTGCAGCGCGCGCAAGCATTGGCACGACGCACAGGCGCGCGCGGTTGCTTTAATTCGTCGGATCAGTGCGCGACATCGCGTATGGCTGCAATTCAAAACAATTCAAAACATGATTCAGCAACTTTTGATTTGAAATTGAGATCCTAGAATGCTGTTTTTCTCGGAATATACAGCTGAAGTTGAGCTGAAACTTCATCAGGTTAGTTGTTCAGTATTCTTCATTAGATTTTGAACACTTTTGTTGCTTCAAATGAACAAAATGCACAAATTACAAATGATGGACTATATCTTTAAGCTTAGCATTTACGGCACATGCCGTGCTATAGCCGCACTACTGCAGAGCTCAATTCAATTAAGTTCAGCACGGCAGTGTCACCAAGTTTACAACAGGCCTTGTTCAGTGTATCATTGGTAAAGTTCCGTGATGCTTCACAAAAGGGTTTTGTTTGCGGACTGGGTAGAAAACTCACCTTGAGTTGTACCATAGAGTTCTGCACTTCTTGAAAGATCTGCCCATTGTCTTCTATACTCTTGGCTTGGCGTGCCACCGACGTGGCCCATTTCCTGGCTTCACGGTCCAGATAGAGGGATTCCTTCTGGTCGATAACCATACTAGATACCTAGAATTAGAAAAAAAAATAATTGTTTGACCCTTTAGCACTTGCATTACTTTGTACCTGAGAAAGTTCAGGAAAGCTTTAAGGTAGCAGACCAGTAAATAAACTTCCATAGACCCCAATGGTAAATGCTCCTACTTCGAGACACACATCAAATTAAAGCTTATTTCATCATCTTTCATTTTCTTTTCAATTTTCGGGGGGTCAACTGATGACTTTTAGGAGAAATTTCCTTCTGAAGATGATCACCCCTGAAAATAGTCCTGAAGCCCATCAACATTTTGAAAAAACGATGCCTACACTCCATTGCCAAATAGAGCGCTTTTAGGGTCCAAATTACATCCAAATTACACAGAACTGCAAGCTCCCAGTCCTGTGCACGGCTTCCACCCATATTTTTTACAAACCCTCAAGTTCATGGCCCACAGCATGCTCAAATACTGAAGATTTTGAGGGCATACAAATCGTGATTTGGCCGGCGTAGGCAATTTCGGACCGATTTACTGGTCTGCACCCTTAAAGTCAAAGTACACCAAGCTACTCCAGTAATGTACACGTTTGCGGCATAGTACTCTTTTTCTTCCAACCACCGCCAATGAAATTGATTTTATAAGCCCTCTTCGTCATCCCCCAAGATTATCCTCGTGATATTTTATAGTAATGCATTTTGTGAAGGAAAATCTTTAACCTGCGATAAAAATAAAAGAAGGAATTCACCATCCCAATATCCCCCTTTCTTGGCTTAAAAGCCAGAGAGGTTAAAAATTGGACGTAACACACGTTGTAGATCTATAAACATAGAGCAAGGACCCAAGGAGTTCGTACTCCAAGACTTCAAAAGTAAAATGATGGTCGCCGCGCTCGAAAGCTACAATAGAAAGCACCTGGCGCCAGCTTGCTCAGTTGCTCACTACGCTAATCTCGACACAATAGAGATCCGCGCTCACTAATGCCAGAAAAAGGAGTTTGCATGGCTTCGTAGACAGTACCATGGTAAATACGCATGCGCAGTTGTCATACATCGCTAAAAATGAATGATTTTGAAGTGTTTGTTCGCAGTTGGATGATACTGTATATAAATGTGGTCAACATCACTGGAACAATCATTTCATGAAGAACAAAATGCTCTGTACCTTTAGTGTGAAAACTTGTGAAATTTTCCAAAAAAAACACATTTCATCAATGATATATTGCCAATTAAAATGTCTGAAAATACATGAAAACTTATCTGAAAGAAATCCAATTTATCTCCAAATTACAGGGACAGATAACGCTTTTAAGCACCAACAACTGCACATTGCTAACTTGAGTTCATAACTCACATCTAACAACTGCGCAGTTGTAAAAACCTATCTTGTCGTAAAATATATTTTTCAAAAAAGAGCAGCGACGTGACATGACTTATTATGCAGCATATAGGGAGGTTGTTGGTTACCAACTAAAAAGGTGGCGATGATCATCGTGTTCAAAGGCCGCTGGCATTCACGCATTGAATGGTCGAGGCTTGCGGTCACAGTGCTGTAGCTATAGACATTCCCGAGGGATTGGTATGTTAATGGTCAAAATGTAAATCGCCCAAGAGTTCAGACTCCTTGGGTCCTTGCTCTATGCTGTAAATGGTGTCCGGATGTAGTGTATTCCTGTAAAATTCTGGCAGGTTTTTGAAGTCAATTTACACGCCCTATTCAAATCAACCTTTCAGAGTTAGGGTTACAAAGTCTAATTCCTGCTTTGCATTTCGGAAACTACAAATGAAATTAAAAATTACAGAAATTCAGTGAAATTTGCTGAAATAATCTCAGATGTCACCTACCTGGTCTGTGTCGATGGGTGTGTAGTGATATTGCAGGGGTTTGGTAAACACGGGACACTTCTGAAGGAACCGCTGAGAATGGTACTCCCTTGTGATCTAAGCACAGTGCATGATAGCAAACAAATGTAAAATTTACAGCTTAAAACTAAGGATTGAAAAAATGTTACTTTTTGAGCTGTGCCAAATGTAAACTCATTAAAAATAATAACTTTGGATTCACATCTATTTATATCCCTGATCGGGGATGTAGTTCTCCATCACGAGTCCATCGCAAGTCCGTCACGAGTCCCTCGTAAGTCCATCACAAATCCATTTTAAGTCCATCGCAAGTCCATCGCAAGTCCGTCCCAAGTCCGTCACAAGTCCGTCACAAGTCCATCGCAAGTCCATCGCAATTCCATCACAAGTCCATCACAAGTCCATCACAAGTCCGTCACAAGTCCATCAAAAGGTCATCACAAATCCGTCACAAGTCCATCGCAAGTCCATCACAAGTCCATCACAAAACTGTCACAAGTCCATCACAAGTCTGTCACAAGTCCATCACAAGTCCATCACATTTCCATCACAAGTCCGTCACAAGTCTGTCACAAGTCCGTCACAAGTCCATCACAAGTCCATCACAAGTCCATCACAAGTCCATCACAAGTCCGTCACAAGTCCGTCACGAGTCCGTCACGAGTCCAGCACAATTCCGTCACAATTTCGTCACAAGTCCGTCACAAGTCCGCCACAAGTCCATCACAAGTCCATCACAAGTCCATCACAAGTCTGTCACAAGTCCATCACAAGTCCGTCACAAGTCCGTCACAAGTCCATCATGCACGCATGCGCATAAATGGGCCTTGCGGCGAGAAGCAAAAGTGGTCCATTGAAAATGTAAAGGCCTACAAACATTTGGGTCATTTTCTCTCAATTTGTCCAGGATTTGTCGCTTTTTATCTTTAGAAAACCCCCTTAAATCACTGTAGGCATTACTCTCTGGCCCAAGTGTGTTTTCTTCGGGTCACAAAATAAAACCTTAAAAATTGCTTTCGTCCCGTGCGCACAAGGGCGAAGAAAGTCAGCAGGGCTCCTTTCCGCAAGAACTTTACTACTGTGCTCCTTACCAGTTCTGCCTCGCCTTGTACTTTGTCGAAGCACGCCCTGGCGTAAGTCCCCAGCTCAATTTCTGTTGTGGCAAATATGGAGTAGTAATCCTTCAACCTGTCGTAGAAGTTCCCGTCTAGTGTCTGATTAAAGCACAAATCAGAAAGAAAAAGGAAAATTTGGGGCTTACAGAAAACAACAAGATGAGGCAAATCAATTTGACCGTGGTGATTAGTGCAGATGCTGTTAGTTTCGATTGTTCCAAAACCCACAGATTCCACTTTTTAAAAATGATGTTGGGTCGACCTATTTTTACAATTGTTGAGCACTGTCTTGAACTGACTTTTCAAAGGACTAGAATTGGCTACTACAGAGGCGGATTCCTCAAAAGTAACGTAGAAGTTTATATGAATAAATCTGAGTGAGAAGCACTGGAATCCAATGGTTATGGTATGCGAATCATGTGTGATGGTACATGTACATGTACATTGATTCAAGCTCTGATGGGAATGTGGTGTAAGTATTCCTAGGCAAGGTACTTTACATCAATTACTTCTCTCAACCAGGGAGTAAAAACGGGCACCTGGCATCCATTTCACGAAACTTAAGATGTGTTGAACGCGTCGTAAGTTCCTTGACAACGACTTAAAACACGTCACAAGTTACGACGTGTCTAGCAGTCATCGCAGTGTCCTTTTCTTAGCCAGTTTTATGCCGTAAAAAATACATAAACGAGACTACAATATCGAGACAATGAGTGTAATGTTGTAAATGGAAGATGCATAGAAGTAATAATGTATTAGCCCGGAATATTGCAGTTGAAATTTCAAAGTAGCTATACAGTCCACCGCGAGCTTGTTTTCCTTTAAAACTGCATCACACGTCCGCTATTTAGTTTTACATCTTAAAAACTATTCTAGAGGAAATTCGATGACTCTTTGTTGAATATCAGACGACTATTTACTGTACGCTACATAAATACATATAACAGTCACCATGGTGTGCTATAAATACACCTACGACACTTCACACTTGCAACACGTTTTGTGAAATGAATCGCAAGTTACAATGAGTTTCGTGAAATCTGGTGCTGCTCTCGTAGCCTGATGTGAACAGGGATAATAATTGGGAAGTGTTTTGAGACATTGTTCAGTTCTGGTACACCTTAGCCAGTTTGTTTGTCGTTCCTAGCCGATTTTCTACTCACGGACATGATGTATGGAAGATCTGTGGAGTAGTATCTCTGTTGGTGGGCGTTGGCGGCGGTGATGGCCAGCAGGTACTCGTTGCGCATGTGGGCCGAGCGCCGGTCGCAGGTCTCCCGCCGGGCCGTCAGCTTGGACATCTGACGCTCCAGGGCCGACTTGGACTGGAAGAACTTGAGTGAACCTTTCTTTAATCTGGATCAAAGCATTACAGGTCGTATTCCTTATTTTTTTAATATTCACTTTCACACACAAAAATGTACGGCAGCAGTGTTTGAACTACTGGGACTCGCAATACTGTGAATCGAGGGTAAGAAAACTTCAGACTGTGAAAACCTTGAGATAACAAAATAGACAGGCACAAAAACAACAACCAGTCCATCACTTTACTAGTACTCTCATGTAAAATGTGTCACAAAAAGTAAGACATGTGATAGGTTGAAATTTCACAATCTAACACTGTGGTATGGACTCTGTGAACAAATACCCCCTCATTGGTAAGAACGGGAGAGTTGGGGGAGACCACTGAGAGAGACACCCAAACGGATTGCCAATGACGCCTGAAGCTCATGTGAAGACACTATGGCTTTGCGCACATTCAGAATAAAAGAAGTTGTGTGTACTTCGAGCTATACGTGCGGAAAACCAGTACCTTCTGAAAGTGGTAAAAAGGGTGCTTCATGTATCTCTTGTTCGTGCCGATAACAAACAAGTCTGGTTACAAGAAATTCCCAATACCAGCCCAGTCACATGGCACATGATGAAAAAAAGAATAGATAGTTGAAATCATCACGGTCATCTGAATACCTTATGAATCGACTTAGGTTGTGAGGACTCGTGACATGTGTGAGGACATGTGGGGACGTGTGAGGACTTGTGAGGAAGTGTGAGGACATGTGAGGACTTGTGATGGACTTGTGATGGACATGTGAGGACATGTGAGGACTTGTGAGGACTTGTGATGGATTATTGAGGATTCGTGATAACATGTGATGGACTTGTGAGAGCTTGACTAAACTAGAAAACCTTGGGATACCTCACAGTACCCTCTTACAAGAACTCAATATTTGCATGCCGTGCTTCCCTTAGATGTGGAAAAACTCCATGCCCAACATCCCAGCAGCCAGTTACATCAGATCTTACTTGGTCTCAGCATCGAGGGCCTTTTCCCTGGCTTCCTCGGCGAGCGTCTCCGTGTCGCAGTAATTCTTCTTGGCCTTGGAGAGGTCCCTGACCGTCGTCTGAACCTCCTCTTGACAAACATTGAACATGTCATCACACTGGATCAAAAGGAAGAGAAAAAAAAGAAGACAGAAAAAGACATGACACAAGATGCCAGTTTTCACCCTCGTATTGTCTGATCAGTCACACACAGTCAAATTCAATCTTGTCCTTCTGCCATACCTTTATACACAGGCTAGTTACCAACAGTCAGATCATATTTCTTATAGTCACTGTGACTAGTCAATTGCTATCAACAGACAAAAACCAGTATTACATGTAGGTACAGCTGGCATAGCAATCACCAATAGGTGGCGCTAGTCGCGTTCAGGTAGTACACACGCAATCCGGGCTCCTTCGACCAATAGGAATACCAAAATGCGCGAGCGCCTTGTAATTAGGAATGCACACGGCATACGGACGGACATGGTGTCACCTCAAAATAGCTTCAAAATTTTTTTGCCGGATTAGTCAAAGCATAGCTGTATCAAGTTGCATAAACAGTCACAGCCTGTCAATTCTGCTATACATGTATGTTAGGCAGGGAACACTCAACTGTTAAAAACAGCGATTGATTTTGACTGCTGGGATGGCCCATCTGTTTCTTGACATACTTACTCATGCAGACTACTTAAGAAGTGTTGGACTTGTTGCTGTGTACATCACTCTATTTTTGGCTGTTTCGGCAACCGGCCCAAACAGCCTTTGTTTTCGTTAAAGTTTTTATTTTTGGCTGTTTCGGCAACCAGCCGAAACAGCCTTTGTTTTCGTTAAAGTTTGTTTTTTTCTTCTTCTTTTTTTCTTCTTTTTCAGCCATTCCTCATAGCATTTGTACACGGTTTTACAGTGGAAGGCACTTTGGGCAATAAAATCAATCCACTTGACTTTATACTCGGCACACGCTTAGGCCAGCATCTGCAGTTGTGCCCCGAACATTGACGTCATCATGACGTCATCACGAGTCACATGACGTCACATTATATGCGCTATGAGAATGTAATCACATGCCACCATTTATTATAAACAGAGCTACACATCCTTCCTTGATGGAACTTATACTTAAAACTTAACATGTCACACGTCACAAAAAATACCGAAACAGCCCTGTGTTTGTCCACAAACATAAATCTAGTTATTTTAGGCCAAAAAAAAAAAATAATATTCGGTCTCTGGTCAGACCAAAGTTCCAGAATTGACGCGGCCACGCGGCTTCTTTTTTTTTTTTCTTCAAGCTTGGATTGTACAGACAAGGTGGGTACTATTTTGCTTTTTTGGTGTCCTCATGTACATTGGTGTCCTCCATAATTTGCCTTGGTGCTTTCGATCATTTGCCTTGGTGCAATTTCCCATTCCTTGGTGCTCTTTGGTAAAAAAAATTGAGGAGGTGCGGAAATAGAGGGCGCTGTTGGAGCTACCACGGAACATTTTGGAAAAAAAAAAGATCGACGCGCATGATTAAAATCGACGCGCGCGCTGACCAGAGACCGACTTATTTTTTTTTGCCTTATTTAGGGTTTTTTTCGGGGGTGGGGGGGGGGGGGGGGAATCACATGTGTTCACTATTTTAAGATGCAGATTTTCAAGGCCCAACCCAGTACAGACCTTTTTCAGTGTCTGCGCCCGCGTGTTCTTCTGCATCTTGATGACCTCGGCGATCTGTGAGCTGAGCGTCTCTGAGGCGGTCACGCGGGCCTTGGAGACTTTCTCCGTTTCGTCCAGGATGGCCTTCCACACCTGTAGGGCCAGTCTGTGGACACAAATGGGTAGAACAAATAATGATCATTTTAAAATGTCTCTTGGCTTTGGTGACCCAAACAATTTCTGGAATTGATCCCAATAGGAATGGTTCACAATACGATGCGACACCAAGCATTTGCCCAGGAGAGGCCACATTTGAAATTTACAAATACCTCCCCCCCCCCCCTCAACGGTTACAAAGGGAGAGTTGGGGGAGACCACTGGGAGAGACATTCGAATGCATTGCTAACGACAGATGGCACTCACGAAAAGAAAAAGATGCTATAGTTTTGTCACAACCTTCCAGGGCATTTTGGCCAGAAACCCTGCTAAACAGCAGCAACATGCAACACTTGGCAAAATTACAAGCCTGCCCAGTGTAGCAAGATCCAACAAAAGTCAAAAGTCTCAAAGCCGAAATGCCTCAGAGTCGGTGGTCACCAAATGCAGCAGGGTACAACCGTGGCATTGTTCAATTGGACTCGTTGAGATGGAGGGCTATCTCCAAAGATAGCTCCGGAGCTAGCTGCATGTAGCTCCACCCAAAACAGTTGTCACTGGGATGCAATTTACACCTCTGGAGCTATCTCTAGAGCTAACCAGGGCCAATTCTATTTCTATGCAGAATTATAACACACCTCTTGCTTGTTCTTTATCCTGGTTGGCTGAAACGCAGTCACGTGCGATTCACTAATATAGGATAGTGTATGAGAGACATGTCGAGACATGTCAAGACATCGCGCGTCTAGTTCACGCGAGTATAGTGCCTGATTGGGCACTATACTCAAAAATTTGTGACTGGTAACAGCGCCCTCTGACTAAACTCAACTCAAAAATTTAATCTAGGGAATCTAAAAGCATTCCTTTAATTGTTGAATTGCTTACAGCTGAATTGCTTATGAGTTAATTGTTGTTAAAACAGTTCAATAATAAAACACTGAAAGGTTTCTTTTGTTATTTTATATTTTGGACAGAGGTGAGTTATAAAACACATATGGACTGGCATAATTCAGTCGCTAGTGTACCTCTATGCCCCCCTCGGGCCATCGGCCTCGGGAAATAGGACCCTCTTCTGGTCACTCACAGTCCCTCGGGCGCATAGACATGCATTAGTGACCGCATTGCCAGTCTATAGAAGTTAGCTACACTGTACAAACAGAGAGTCCAGTCTCAATAAAGTGAGTCACGAATCTGATGAAAGTCAAACTTTCTGTGCCATGTTTTTCTGTGGTTCTAATTATTCTATGCTTAATATCCTTGTTTTCACTTCCTCTGCTTACATTGTAATCTGTTGTAGTGTCACAATCTTTACAATTTAAAAAAAAGGACTTTGCTTTAAAGACTACAGAGTAAGTACAAACAGATTGAAGAAATATAGAAACAAAACTGGAACTGATCTGATTCCAATTGTACACGCACATTTGTAGATTAATTCTTGTCAAACAAATTGTACACAAAAGTAAACAACCTAGATAACAATACAACCTTCTGATAAATCTGTCATTTAGACAAAGCAATCTGTTTTTGAAATATGAATTGTAAAAATATAATATAAACATATAAAATTGATGTAATTTTCAGAAATGGATGGATTTGGGGATTAGTATTTTACAGCAAAATTGTTACACTGACCTGTGAAAGTACAGTGTTTATGGATGCTGGAAAAACCAAGAGAAAAAAATAGTGTTCTTGTAGTCTGGTTCCCTGATCCTACTTCAGGCAAACGGAGCATGTTATAGACATCGGGGAATTATCAGGTCAGGGAACTGGACTAGCTGGTTTGCACCCGTTCAAGAGTGTGTAACCGATTGCAAACAAAATGTGAACAAACTAAATTTGGTAAATTCGGGGGAATAATTGAAGAAGAAAAAAATTCCAACGATGGTCGGCCGACCATCATTGGAAATTGATACCCAAAAAATCCACTTTTCTTGAAAATGACAACACGCCAGGTGCCATGATTTCACAGGATGCTTGAGACTATTATTCACTTTATACAGTCAATAAGTTACAATGTATTTCATAATAAATCAGTAGTTTTGTTTTTTGATGTTTACAAATAAGTTTAAAGAGTACCGGTACTTAGAACATTTTTAACTTCAACTCAGATGAAGGATACTATCGTTACGTCACACTTAAATGCAGCAATGTATTAATTCTTAAAATGAGTAATTCATGCATTATGCGTCCATAACAGAGCTTTTAATAGCTCAGTGAATAAACATGACAGTGTGTTTTTCAAATCTCACACATCCATCATGTAGTAATGGTCAGAGAGATTACAGACTAGGAGTTTTGGATCATATCTCTAAATCATTCATTATACATTATTATGGTTGATTGGCTCTAACCACAGAGAGTACACTTCCTTTCATAACGCTGTAATTTGTAAGTAACGTTTAATCCTCTGCTTCATCCTGTTTTTCCTTCTTGCTTTTCCCTGAAGTGAAAACTAATCCGTTTAACATTTGCTGTAAACACGTATTGATTGTTTCAAAGAAAGAAAACCTGCTTTTATTGATCCATGCTTAAAGGGAAAATACAACATTTGCAAACATCAAAAATAACCAAAAAAATCTATTAAATTATTTTGAAATACCTTGCTAGACTGTAAGTGATTGACAGTCTAAAGCATCCTGTAAAATCATGGCACCTGGTATACTGTCATTTTCAAGAAAAAGTGGTATTTTTGTATCAATTTCCAAACTGTTTATTTTGTTTGGTATTACATTTCGGGGGATTTCGATATTACAATGTACCAGAATTGTATGTATTTCAATATAGAATTTTTAAAAATACAAATATTAAAGTACAACAAGTCAAAACTACACGTAAATCTACCAAAACAGTCTGTGATGTTGCAATTTTACATTTCATTCAACATGTTGCTATTTATATATATAGAGAGAGCTAAACTTGATTAAATTTTAAACGTGTGACTACTGTTACAGGGCGTGTAGAATAGATTTCACAAGTATGCAATAGAAGTAAGTTGATGAGATTATTACCTCGTATATGAGGCAGATCCAATGTCTATTGCATGACCCAGATGCATCTAATTAATCTATATATTGAACCTGAACATTGTGCATGCACACTGTCTGGGCTGAGCTTTTCTGGTAAATATTAAACTTTTATAGCGCACGGGGCTATGCGTAGGCTTGAGTCAATACCGTCTGTGTGATTCTGAGTCATATACTGGACGGAAAATTACCCAGCAATACAGTTAGTTTTTACCAGAAGGGATTTTGAATGGTTGATTATGTGGCTATTAATTTAATACAAAAAGGGAAAGTAAAATCTTCACAATCATGGGCATATGTGTGTCCATATAATGTATAGATTTTGTTTTTAAAACAATATACAGGTATTTCACCAATATTGCACAAAACATACACGTATGCACAATGCATCAACACAAAATAAACAAACACATGGGCAATTCCAGTGTCACGGACATTATCAATCAGACATTTTGTTTTACTTTAAGAGCTCAGCAATAAACCTGGCAATGTCTTATACATACATACATCCATCACCTAGTAATGGTCAAGGAGATTATAGCTCCAATGAGTTTTGGTTAATTTCTCTGAATCTTTTGGGTTTTATTTTTTTTCGGGGGGGGGGGGGGGGGGGTGGCCATTGCAAATTTGCAAGAGTACGTTATTTTCCTTGTTTACAAGAACCTGTAGAAAAAAAGGGGATGTGCAGCATCGATTCAAAATGGTTGCCTGAATCTCCTGCATGCACGGTCTAAACAAAAAGTGCACACTCTCGGACTCTATCGGACAAAACATGTACCGGTAGGTGCCACCATTCACTGGGGCATATTTCAGGGATGGACTCTGCATGGACACTTTTGCCTGACATTTGGGTATATACATTGTACATGTAAAGGGAAAAGTAAAAAGGAATCTGGGCACGTGATTACTGTACACTTATAAATAAGGCCCCCTTCAATGGAGAAATTTATAGTGTATTAAAGCAACTGCTCTGATGCATTATAATATCTAAACAATAGCAATTGTAAGTTGAACATTTTGCTGGTAAAAACAATTAAAGGGAATGTACATCATTGGCTTTTGCTGTAATTTTCAGAAATGAACTATTTGAGGGGTAAGTTGATAGATCAAATATTGTTACACTGACCTGTTTGAAGTTTTGTGTTCGAAAATGCTGGAAAACCAAGAAAAACAAAACTGTTCAAGTAGTCTGGTTCCTTGACTCCACTAAAGATAAAATGGATCAATTTATAGATGCCGGAAAATTGTAGGATAAGGAAACCAGTCTACCTGGCCTGCACCCGTTCATGAACATGTAACATATAGCAAACAAAATTTGGACTGAAAAAAAGGTGTAAAGTTGGAGCAGTAGTTGAAAAATAGTTAGGTTTTCCAACAGTGGTCGGCCGACCACCGTTGGAAATGTACACAAAAATACCATTTTCTTGAAAATGACTTGACACCAGGTGCCATAATTTTACAAGATGTTTTAAACTGTCATTTACAATGTACCAACATCCTGCAAGGTATTTCGTAAAAACTTGGTAGTTTTATTTTTCGATGTTTGCAAATGTTGTATATTCCCTTTAAATAGGGTATGCCTTCAGTTTCAATGGGTACAATCACACAAGAACTTTAAATACATGTACATGTCCACACAGATGTACAAGTACATGTACACATCCCCAGGTTCGCTGTTATTCAAAGGAAGTAGAATTCCCCAACGCCCTGGAAGGAAGCCCTTTTCAGCGCATAAATCAACAAATATGCTGACGTATTTACCGCCTGAAAACAATGCCAATATGGCCGACAAAATAAACATGCTTCCCAGCAAAAGTGAAGTGTGTGTGTCACTGGGGTAAACAAAAAATAACCTAGCATGAGTCAGGGAACTAGTTTTCAATAGGGAAGGTTGTGAGGAGCCACACAATTTCAGTTTCAATATTTTCCATAAGATGACTAAACATTAATTTGTTTTTTCATGTCATCATTGTGTCACGAACTGGAT